AATATTTAAAAATTAATGAACACCGTTCTAGACATATTCTCCGACATTCTATATTTGTCCATTTAATTATATGACTTAAATAACAATTGCATTCTATGCATAACTTCTTTGAAGGTTATTTGAAGGGCAACATAATTTACATAGTTGAATTTATTTTTCTATTACTGCAACGTTACACTAATGCTGCAGACATAGTCTTCGTACGATTAGTTATACTTTTTAAAAAATAATTCCCCCGCAGCTTATCTGAATATCAATATATTATACGTGATTGAATTTGTTTTTCCAACTAGCTAAAGCATTATACCAATGAAAATACATGATGTTCCATTAAAAAAAAAGCAACGGTGACCTTAAAATTTCGTAAAATATAACCTCAAAGGACAAATTTGCTCTATCGCAATAATTGTTCAATGAATCGATCATTTTTTTCTTTACACATTTTCTCGTATCATAAGGAACAATGGAGATATTTATTTTAGGTGAGAACGTTCGATGACTCACCGTATATGTTGTAGGACATAGAAAACGGATGGATATTAATAACGAAAAACAACGGCTAGTTCCATAGATACTGCGAACTTTATTCGTATACAATGCTCGATTATTATTCGCTATCGAATGATCAGTCAGGGAGATTGAGAAACCTAATACACAGTAACTGCTTGCTTGCATTTAACCTGATGGTATCCATTTTAAGAAATTCCAACAGACGTAAGCAGTGTTATAGCATTAGAATAGTAGAATGACTGTAGCTCGGGAAAATATTGAATGAGTTAATTATCGTGCGAACACCTATTTGTTTATACTTGATGTGAGTCTCGTATAGGACGAACAGTTTTCAAATGTTTAAACAAATACGTATTATGAACACTGAAATCGAACAGAAATTAATTTAGTCAATCAACCGGTTATTTTAGGATCACTAGGAGCAATTTATTTAAATTCGAATCTCGAATTTCGTCTAGTTGCTACTATATGTATATTTTTACATTTCTTTGGGTTTCATGCGGGAGATAATGCATCTTAGATACTTAATCTGTAGATACTTTCCCATTCGGATAAGATTTCAATCGTACTTTGGAATTCTATTGTTAACAATGGGATTATCGAGGGCTAAACACGACTACTGTTTTACAGCAACAACAAGATTGAAGTTACATATTAAAACTTCGTATGATTTCTATAGTAATATATGTATGTTTGACTAAAGAAGTTCACTTAAAAATTTGTCATAGAAATATTTTTATAATGTCAGGAACTGTAAATGAAAAAATCTAGAACCAGTTGTTTCGACTGGTTAGTTCTTGCGTTAAAGATTATTTTGAGCGAAGTTGCTCCTTGTGTTTTACGATGAATGTAACGGATTTTATAGAAAGTGTCTAAAAAGTAGTTGAAGATGTAATAATACCACTACAAAAAATTACCGTTTTATTCACGGTAAGCAAAAGTTGTTCAAAACTACACTTGTTCAAAAGTATGGATAGTTCACAAAATTTGGATGCTAGACGTAACCTTTAACATTTCAAATTGTTTCGCACAGTAATATTTAATTAGATTAACATGATACATTGTGCATGATATAATAAATCGAAACGTTGCAACGAATGCTTGAAACGCATACGAGGGTACTAAATTTATTCGCGGGGATTGTACAATTGGATAATTGGTATTCCCAATATAACCACGTTGTGGTAGCCTAATACTATAAAACAATAACGTACACTTTCTGTATTGATAGCAGTCAATATTAAATTGAATATTTAATAGTAACAATCAAATCAAATAGAGATGTTTCCTCGGGACAAAAAGTGACGACGATGAAACATTGCAGTTAACAAAATAATTAATATTCCCAATTGCAAACGTTGTTGCATTTACATTATATAAATGTCTAATAACATCGTTGATGTTGAAATTTGTTTTCTAAGCGGTATCCATAATTTTATAATAACAGATAGAAAATGAGATTATCATTCGCGTAAGATGATAAATATTTGTATAATGCTTATTACTAATTCAATTAAATTCGCTAAAAAAAATGAAAGATTGAAAATTTGTCGATAGTACCGATTGATTAGAGCAAAGTCATACAGTGTCGATCGTTCTAAGTTTTACTGTTGTATTCTCGGTTAGAAAGAATAAAATTGAAATTAAAGAAAGATGATTTGTAGTTTAAATAATTAAAATATTAACAAAAAGACATTCGATTGTTAAGACAATGTCGTATCTTTATTTTTATATACATCACAAATAAAATAATTGATATTTTCGTGATTTGTGCACTCATTATGTACCCAACCTGTACACTGCACTAAATCTTCTTCGAACGTTTCCTTGTAACCAACGAACTGGGCAATTTCTTTATTCTCCAGCTTTCTATTTATTGAATTATCCTATTTTTTTATTCATCTGTTCCTATAGTTTCTTTCTTCTTTTGTTTTCTTGAGATTTCTCCGTTTGCTTGCAGCTTTCTTTTTTCTTTATTTCTCTTGCTATGATTTTATGATTTTATTTGCTATGAATATATCGCCTACGGTGGTTTTTGACACATTGAACATTTCAGCAGACTGTTTCTGTGTCATTTCCTTTTTGAGAATCTATTTCAACACCGTGCATTCAAATTCCCTTCTGTCCGTTGTACTTTCTTTTCTTTTGAAATTTACATTTTTTTGTGCGAAAAGGCGAAAAGAAAATTGGTGAACCGTTCGTTAAATAATTTTGAAATACCCATAGATTGAACTTACAAATAAAGAAATGGTCGATCCTAATTCGATCGGTATTGCACGACAATGGGATAGTATTATATTTATGCACGCAGAAAAATGATCAAATCATGGTTTTAAGTTATTCTTAGTAGACTAGAGATAGTTATAAGAAAATAATAAAATCACAGAAATAGCAACATTGACGTGTATCGTCTCGTAAAATTCAGAAACAGTGAAGGAACGTAATGATTTTGAACTATGTTAGATATTTATACGACGGACGGCATCTAGGATAGATGTTCCAGTTTTCGCGCCTGTCGTAAATTCCGTGTCCCCGGATTAAAAACGTATAGAAAAAGGAAAGTTTTATATATAAATTGATGATCTATATTTTTTTATTATATGTCTCAGGTACCCGACCTTCGAGTCAGGTCGACAGTTTTTTCGGATTTGGATCGGGTCCCAAAAGTTTACAAAGTTTGGGTACCCGAGATTTCAAGTACTCGTGTATGTGGAAAGACTATCAAAGCGTAAACATGGTTTTTTAATGATTGTTCAAGAAAATATTTATTTATCTTATTCTGACAGATTTGGATATGTTTTCGTACTTTATGTAAGTAAAATAAGATTGTAAAAAATCACAAGGAAAGAAAGCAATTTATATCAATATAATATGAGACAGAACTATTTTATTTTAAATTAGAATGTAGAAAACATAATTATTCTATCCAATTATTCGTAAATGAAGAAATGCGAACATATTTTTCAGAAAACTTTCTTCTCCACGAAATATAAATATCATGGATTAGTGGAAGTGGACAGCAGCACGAATGAGATTACTTACAGAAAAAGTAGAATAATTACGTTTTCTTCATTCTAATTTGAAATAAAATAGATTTCCCCTTCTCATATTTGAATACATGTTTTTCTCCTTGCGGATTTACAATTTATTATTTACATCAAGTACGAAAAATCATAAAAAACCATCATGTTTACGTTTTCATAATCTTTACGTGTATACGATAACAGTTCGACTCGAGTAAGGATTCGGGTACCCGTGAATTTTGTGAACTTTCAGGACCCGACCTGAACCTTGCTATGCGGCTAGATCGTCATTATTTGGCACATTTCTTATCTATATCTGTTTCGAGTCTACAAATTTATTATTAAAAAAGTGCTAAAATTGGACAATAAAGTTTGATATACGTTTGTTTTAATCATAATTTCATATCTTTGCTTTCATAATGCTGTATCTAATCGCAAAATGTTATATGAAGTTATTAACATTCTGGATTTCGAAGTTCCAAGGAGTCGTCAATAGAAATAGTGGAGCCAATTACCATGGGGTGGTCAATTACTGTTCTTCTAGTTTATTTTCGAGCATAATTTATTTGTTAAAATTAAATACGTAAAAGACAGAATTACTTTAAATACCATAAAAATGATTTTAATTTTTTGATATTGAATTCAGTAAAGATTTATGAAAAAGCTTAAGAAAATACTGAACGATTCAAGATCAATATTCAGCAAAATAAATCGTTCTAGGTAAAATATCACAATCTTAATTGCATTGGTAAAACGTATTAGGATTATGTAAAAACAAAACAGTGGTTGCTTATTTTAATTTTTGCTTTTAGTTTAAATTTAAGCAGTTTGTTTACTGTGCACAGTAACTGAACCTATTTTTCGTTCGATGCGTTACTGTACCGCTTAACATAGTATAGATCTACATAACCTCAAATCTCAAATCATCTGTCTCATATTTTTAAAGAGGAGAAATGTAAATATTATATTATTTATAGAACATAAAATTTATTAAAGTATGTTAAATATTAAATTTTTATTGTGCACAATTATTGAGGCTTAGTATTCAGGGAGGTAGCATGGTAACTGCAATACAGTATTCAGGGATGGAGCACGATAAATGAGACACAGTAGCTAATCTTTGTAGATCATAGGCACATAGTAACTGGTTCCAGAACTTTTTCTTCTTTCTCCTAATATTTAAAGAAGATTTGACGTTCATTTAATGGAAAATTTTATACCGATCAAAGAAACCTTGAAATTTTTTAAAAAGTTGAAAAATTGCATTTTAGTAACAAATTATCGTCTTCCATACCATCGTGCACCATGGAACGTTAGAATGAGAAATTCCGGGCATACTTTTCCGTAACAGTTTGAACTAGTTACTTTCGGATCCTTTTCAATCCCTGCTTTTTCCTTAGATTTTTAGATAGCTAGAATACGTGTTTGGTATTTGTATCGTTGACGTCGATTTTCTTCGTTACACAGGTGATATAGTTGTACTGCAGCCGGCGCAGAGGTGAGGGGAGGCCAGGCGGAGATCGAAGAAGGGATGAATGGAACGGCGGCGTTGCGACGCAGCGTCGGTGGCGGCGTGGGCGCCGCCGGGGGTGGAACCGTCGAACCAGCACCCGTCGCCACCCTCGTCGTCTACAAGGACGATGCCGGATACGGGATGAAAGTCTCCGGTGATAACCCCGTCTATGTTCAATCTGTGAAGGAAGGTACGTCACCGTGCAGTCGAAATTTCAACGTGCCTCGTTTCAGTGCGAAAACCTGCAGAATAACGCTGCTTCGGGATCCGCTGTAAAATTCAGTCGTTCGAACGGTTCTGCCGTCCGCCGTGTATTCGGTCAGTTTACAGTGCGGATAGCCATAGCGAAACCGACTACAAAAAGAACGTTCGCACGCTCGGCACTTTTCTATCTCGTTATTATCGGACTGCGGATGTTTAGGCGAGCCCCTTTTAGCGTTATAGGGGTAGATGTATTTATGCAATTCGCGAGAACAACTATTAGAGAATTATTTATGTTTTCGTTGCCAACACGTTGATCAGCCACGCGAATTTTCTGCGTTTCTCGTAAGTATTATTCATTTGTTTATATATACTACGTTGCTGATAGACTGCAGATATGCGAAATTATTAAAATTGCACAGTGCTTTGGATTATTCTAGAACTGTTAGATCTATTAATGTAGGATTCGTCGAGGAACGGTGTAGGAATATTCGTCTAGGAGAGTGCGTATACCCCCACAGACACGAATAACAAAATCATTAATTATAAATTATTCGATAGCGAACTTTTGGCTTGAAACAATTTAAAATAATTTAAATAAAAAAATAAGATAATTTAATTCGTACGGTGCTAAAATCCTTTTTCTGCTACGTTCTCATAGTGTTCACCTCATTATTATTGTTTTTTTATTTATTAATATTCTTTGACAATTTGATATCGGCGGTAATCAGTAATCGACGTGACAGTGGCCTACGCGTTTGTAGTATGAATCAATTGAAAATAAATGAGGAACATTTTATATAGTGTCCGAGTATTCGAATTTTATTGTAAGCTCAGCTTTTGGGCGAATTCGAATAGCTGAAAAATTTATGAAATTATAAAATAGTCCAGCGCAATCAGCATTTTTTAGGAATGAATCTAGTCTCGGTATGTATGGTTTATGAAGCAGTATATTGTAACGTCTGAATAGCTTTAGTCAAACAGTGTATTATGTCCTACGATAAATATTAATTAATTAGACACGATAGTATATAGAAACGTGTATAAAATTACACGTTATTCTTCTTTCATTGTTAATCATATGAATGATTAATGAAATAAAATGAAGTTTCTGTAGAATTTCTTTTCTTGAGCATACGTTTATGTGAACTGTTTCTCCGTTCTCAGCAGTGTTTAAGATTTATACAATGAATTTCAACGTGTTTCTATACATATAATAACATTACTCAATCAGTATCTGGAGTTCCTACTATTAATAGATATTTTATAGATCTTTGATTGAAACTTGCAAACATTTCTTTCTTTGTTATATTCAGCTTTTGGAGAAACAAATATTTTAGAAAAGCGAGTTTACAACTCCAAATTTGTTTTAGATTATAGATGCGTAAATAGTTTAAAATTATCTTTAGAGTGGACCAATCTATGCTTACGAAATCCTTGTCGAAGATATCGGTAATTAGAGAAAGTTGATATTCCTTATTTACATTTTCATGTTGAAAATTCAGATCAAACAAACGCATTTTTGTGAAATTATGCGATATAACATCGAACAATTATCCGATTGCGTGATTTATCGCGAAAAATAGAGCGAAATCAAGAACTTGATGATATTTAATTAAACTTTCTATTTTATTCTTAGTCTCTCAAAATTTAGAATCTTGTATAAAACGATGTTTTAGAAAGATCCACGCTCGCTTAAACATCCGCAGTTCAATGTATACATACATTATAAAAATTCGTTAGAATCGCGGAAATATATATATATATATGCACGAAGAAATAATTAAATTGATTGTTGAATTATCGTGTATTGTGACCCATTGTCCTGTCATTAAAATATCCTGAAACAATCATATTAACGGTAAATAATGCTCCACTGCTAACTTGTATTTTGAAAGTATCAGAAAGTATGTTTTTCACCTTTTGACTGGGAATAGTTTTCGTAAGACGCCCACCTTACAAAACTGTTTGAATTTGCCCGAAAACTTTCTTTTCTCCTGCCGTCGGAGAAGAAATAATTGAGTATTCAGTGATTGGCAAATTACCAGTTAATGTTCCCTCAACTTTCAGGTGTTTTAACACCCGGAAGATTAGCGAAGAATTGGTAGGAAAACAGTACATGTAATGAAGGAACAAGAAATTATGGTTAGAACGAACGGTTTCTCTCGAAATGTTTCAAGAGAACTGATTTTAAATAGGCGATTGCCTCATACAAAATTTTAAAATTCTGATGCATTGTAGGCGGTGCAGCCGCGAGAGCTGGACTTCACGCGGGCGACAAAATAATCAAGGTGAGTTTTCCTACGATTATTAATCGGATAATAGCAATGAATCAAATCCATGGAAGTTAATACTTAACGAGAAAGTTTTGCAATTCGTGTTACTATAACATAGGAATTATCTGATTCATAAATTTGAGTTACGAACAACTGTTGTTACGAATTTGATTGATTTCTATTTCACGAACAGCATATGTCGTGTTACGTGTACAGTATTCTTAATTGTTCTTGGTATTTCCAGGTTAACGGCGTGAATGTAATGCAGTCCACGCATACGGATGTTGTACAGCTGATAAAGTGTAAGTTTACATACTTTCTTTCTTTTCTACGACCTCTTTCTTGTATATTATCATCTCTGTTTGCAAAATATTTCAACACGTTATTTTATCGATTATGCTATTCAGATCCTAAGTGATCTGGCTGTATTAAATACTGTTTTATGTTCATTAAAAAATATAGGAATTAGTACTACGAATATCTAAATAATTTCTTATTAGTGTTTCGAGTCGCCTTATAAGCGAATGACGATCAATAATTAAATAATTATTCTATTGCTATTTGACATACAGAGTGAATAGCGTAACTTGCACATCTGAAGTAACTTTTAAATTATGCGAAATAGAAACATTTTTGTACTCAACTTTTGTATTCAACAATTGTCCATAAAATGCATACGTTATAAATTATTTGAGGTACACAAATGCACACAGGATGAACAAATCAATGTGATCACTTTTAATAGTTTGCTTGTTTTTGGTAATGTGTTAAACTTGTTGTAATAAAACATTGTTCGGTTTGAAGGAGTAAATGTTATGATAAACAGAAAGTTTTTCTCAAAGCCATACTTCTTTGTATGTTTGATTTCATCGATGTTCTTTTTTTTTTAAATGGGAGTATATATTTTGATTATCATGATGTAAAAATTAGGATCAAGACTTATCTAATGACTTACGATACTATAACTTTTACACAACCTTGAATATAAAAAATTATGACGTCGATGATGTTAAAATCTAGAAGAATATGAGCTTAAGAATTTTCATAACATTTGTCCTTCCAGTTCAAAAACTATTTTACATTATTGTTTTTCCACATAATTAAAAATGAGCGAAATATTCAGAGTGATCGAATTGTTTTGGTTATCCTATAAATTAATATGGTATATTTTTGTATTTTTTTGAACGTCATCTTGTTTCGTTAAGTGGTCTCGCATAGTTACAAAACACAGAAAAGAAGCCTAAACTTCGACAATGTTATTAGGAGAATTCTTCATTACCATAATATTGTTTTAATTACAAAATTAATAAAATTAGAGATGTAGCGATGAATTCCGCGATATTAATATTCTGGAACCGTTTCCGCGGTAACGATACCATCTCCACATTCACCTACGAGAAATAAACTACATAAAGTGAACAACGTAACTTTAACATTTATTACCACAAGTTGTCGTTCCATAATATAAAAAATAAAATTTCTGACGTAAACTACATATATTCATAGGTGCAACAGTTTCCACTCCAATAGGTTCATATTAGGGGTACTGTCGACACATTAAAGACACACCTATAAGGGAATTAAAGTCGTAGTGGTGTTAGAAATATTTTCGAAAATTTGAAGTGTGATTTACCCATGCCAAATGTTAGAAAGACAAGTGAAATAAATTACAACTTAACTATACATTAATTTAACTATACATTCTCTTAATTATAAATTAACTCAACCCCCAATTTATGGTCCGAGTTATTTGGACTACTTTAAAATAATTTACGTAATTTTAAATCAGTGAATGCCAACTTCTAGATGTAAAGTAACAACGATTTTACAATTTTTGAGAAAAGTGACTTTACTCAGATGTGTGAAATGAGATTTAAAAATTGCGGTGCGCAACTACTTCACTTCTTGTAAAGAAGAAGCAATGGGACAACATACCTTTGGCTCATTGTGGCTAAGAATGAAATGAAATTAAAAGACATTGCGACATCAGTACAGAACAATACACTTGTTAGTAAACAGTAACATTCTTTGTTTCTCACAATGAGGAAAATGTGACTTACACTGCTATGACTTTGACCCCCTCATATGTACAAGCATAAGAATAGGTATTACACAGTTGGAAAGGTTAATAAGATATTTAAAAACACAATTTTGGAAAAACGTGTTGTAAGTTCTACCCGTTTTAATAGGCACTGCCTTTTGGAGCATTTAAATAAAATTTTCCGAAAACATAGTTGAAAGTTGCAAAATGGTACAATTCGAATTAAAGTGCTTTTGATAAGCTGTATTCAAGCGAGTCGATATTAAGTATTATAATTAACCTTTTTGTGCAAAATAACAATTTTCTGCATCAATTTCAAATATTAGGAGGTAGCACAGAGTGGATTTTTTTCTTTTAATAGTTTTGACAAATGGAAGATAATCTGATGCTAATCATAATTTGTGGTTTTTCTTTACTTTGAATTGCTTTAATTCGAGTCTTTTCATAAATGTCGTAAATATTGCAGTATGACACTTGAGTTATTCTAATTTCACTTTTCAATTGTTTAGATTCAAACTATTCACAATGGTTTCAATAATTATAGAGTCAAAGTAACTTTTAGATTTCTAGTAATATTTAAACAAAAACTTAACTTAACAACATATTTGTGTACATATCTATATTTATATTATGTTTTTGCTTAAATATCAGTAAAAATGTAATAGTTACTTTGAGCCTGTAATTGTGCATATCACAATTAGTTGGTTGTCATCATTGTGGCTCGTTCGAACAATCTATTCACAAATTACTTGAATAGTTTCAATCATCTTATTCGGTATGTTTACGCAAAAAATACGATAGGGGGTAAACACTTTTTTCTTTCGCGATTGGATTTTCCCGTCGATTGCGTCTTTCATGTACCCTGGACAGGAAGCCGACAAGTTTAGATGGGGTGATACCTCACTTTGCAAGTTATTCTTGTGAGTCATTGATTTTTAATCACTTAGGGCGTAATCTAATGTAGCATGCCGTGGGACATTAACCCGTAATTTTATAAAAATAGGCGGATAAATAGCGTTCTATGTACATGTGCGATGATAACTATTTGTAGAATACTAATTACAAGAGGAGATGTGCCACTTCATTATACACAAAATAATTAATAGACTTAGCGACACGTCCAGTTCCATGTCCGAGTCATGTCCGAAAATTTTATTAATAATTTTTATCGTTCACTATATAAAGTAACTTTATTGTGCAGATCCTTTTTATAATTAATAAAGAAATTGATATTAGTTTCCCAGAACTATTTGTTAAACAACGTTCGATTCTAGGTTCTGCAGAAAATGTGAAGCAATGGAAACTTCGTGAGCATTTAACAGAACTTCTGTTCTATTCCTAATTTTATAAAATAGTCAATAAGGGAAGTGTATTGTAAATTATTTAAAAGTCTGTTTTATAACGAGTCACAATTAATGAGTAATTAAGTTATAAATACATGAACACTGAAGTGAACTAGATGATTCCCTTAACCAATAGGAGATGGAGAGATTTCAATGTTTGAGTAGTGCATGATAACAGACAAGAATATAGTGTGATTAGTAGATTATGGATTTTATACATTTATGACAAAAATTAATAGATCGAATACAAAACAGTGGACACATTATTTCCAAATCATTAAAATTATTGGAGAATAAAGTCAATATCTACGTAGCTCCTGCATCTTGTAATTAGTGCATGCAATTTTTGTTTTGCATAAAAATCCGGTATCTAGTAATTAGCAATGAAAGTAAGAAAATGACGAATCAACGTCATTACAAAATATATATATGTATATTAACCCTCTATAATCCGACATTTTATAGAACCCATAATAATTGATATAACTTGAACCCAGTAAATATAAAAATGCAATCGTGATATATAAATTAACAACAAATTTACAATTTGATGCGTGAAGTAAGATTTAAAAATTGCAGTGCATCATCTCTTTGGTTATGGAGGAGAAACAACAAAACAAAATACCACATTAAAACTGAAATTAAATGAAAAAATATTGATAGATTAGCATGTGACTTCAAATATGGCGTTTTGTTAAATCTTCGTTTAAATTTCACTAAAAATGTAGAAGTTACTTTGAGTTTATAATTATTTACATCACTGTACGTATACCTAGATATATGATAATGGTTCACAGGGTTCATAATTTAATTCTTTTTGAATTAAAATAGTGTGGGTGCTGATACATCATATTTATTTTGTTAGGCCATTCTCAAGTAAATTTGAAAACCTAAGTAATAATTCGAATAATATTAAAACAAAGACAACGAACAATGAACATTTTATTGTTCATCAAGAAATGCTTGTTCAGATTACAAGAAAAAAAATGTTCACTGGCACTGAAAAATTTTATTTTTACTGTAAAAAATATTCGATCACGTACTGCTATGTTTAACATTAAATCTACCGAGCGCTAACGGTGATCGGTCCGTATTGGTTTATAAGAATAATGAGACTGACTTTGTGCAGTCTTTTTGCCACGTTTATCATAATGTATGCTTGAATTAAGAAATGTATTCGATTATTCCGTGTGAAAGTGTCTTTGTAATCGGAACAATAGTAAAAGAAGAAATGTAAGGTTGGTCACCCTTTTATAGTGTTCATACGAACTTACACTAATGGTTTTTAGATCACATAGATTTAATTAAAAAGTGCACATCCTTGGATACTGTACAATGTTTATAAATTTATTATATCAAAGGATATAATAATTAATGTAAAAATACAAAGACAGTAGATATTTATTTGCAGAATTCATGACTCCGATAAGGTGATAATTAAAAAAGTTATATAAACCTAATATACAGCCTGAGTCAAATTAGATTCGAAAGAGCATAGAAGGGTTAATTGTGGTATTGAAGAATCGTGATTAGCTCTCCCACTTTTAGGATATTTACGCGTCCTTTCTATAGCACCCCTCCCTCATTTCTCCATAATGTACAAATTTTTACTTATCGTAAAAATTGTAGGCTTATAGCAAAATATTTGTTTCCTATTTAAAAAGAAATTATAGAATCATTGTTATCTCAATTATAAAATGAGATATTTATTTACTTTCCTGCTTTATTAAGAAATATTTTCAAGATTGAGAACAAAAAAGACCATGTTTACACGATGTCGATTGATAACTACCCTGATCTAAGCCAGACCATAGGATAGATCATGTATACGTGATACATACTGGCCGTTAAAATGTTAAAAAATTTAGCTAAAAATTTAGCTTGCAAGTACCTACGTACATATAAGCTTCGCATTATA